AGATTTTGATCAAATATATAAGACTCGTTTCTAAAATAGCATACTGTTCGATTTTAGCGCTAAAACTCGCTAAAAAAGTAGACGTATCTAATATTATAATAATAGACATGATGAAAATGCAAGTGACATTTTATTACTCGTACAATAGTAAGCAGCAAGGCGTAACTTCGTAAGATATAAGATATCATAAGATATATCTTTATACCTGATAAAAATAAAACTTAAAAATGAGGAGTTTTTAATAAAGTATCTACTACTAAGTAATTAACAATTTAAAGAAATTCCATTTTAAGACTTGTAGTTTTCCATTGCGACCGTTGATCAAATAATGTTAAAATTCAGGTTTTTCCGGTAAAACAGCCCTAAGCTACGATCGATTGTAATGTACTGTCTCACCGGGATAAATTTATCGCTTGTTCATCTGGTGATATTTATGCGAATAGTTTCTCTAGCGGCATTTGGAATTTTGTGATAATTTATAAAAATTCACACGGTACACTGATGGAAAGACTGACATTCATACTTCCATACTAATATTATAAATGGGAAAGTGTGTTTGTTTGTTTGTGTGCTTGTGTGTTTGTTTGTCTTTCTTTCACGTTGAAACGGAGTGACGATTGGCGTGATTTTTGGTGTAAAGATAATTGGAAAGCTGGAGAGTACTTTTTATTTCAGGATATCATCTCATTCCCACGGGAAAACACGTTATAATAGGTACAACCCAAAAAATATTTATGATCAGAATTACTTGAAACTTGGTATTAATACTCTTCAATACAATTAAATAAATACATGTTTTAGCATTTTTCGAAATTCATCCTATAAGGGGGTAAAATAGGGGATGAAAGAGTATGTGAAATCTACTTTTTTATAGTTTTTTTTGTAGTTTTAGCGCGAGCGAAGCTGCGGGTTCTGCTAGTTTAATAATATTTAAATCAAGGAATAGTCTATCTAGAAGTAAAAGTAATGAGATTAGTGTTTTATATAAAAGGAAACCTAGTAAGTTCTTTGATAGAGATCATAATTATTTAATAATGACATCGAGGTTAATTTAATTTCCATTCTTAAATGCTCTTATAGGAATTGTTAAGTATTATTCACGTCCCCTTAAGGGTTCTTAGTGATTCATATATCAATCATATTATGAGTCACAAGAACAACCCTTATTTATACTCTGAAATATACTATCTACCTAATTAGAATTAGTTTTATAAACACTATGTTAAGGGGTAAATCTGGTTTCTTTTAATCTTACTTAAATTCTTGAAGTCTATCATAGCATTCTTATAAATTATAATTTAATACACACTGAAAAAGATAGGTACTGCATTGTTTTTTATTATTTATTAAAATATATATTGTAATTTGTATGAATTTTATAAGATTTCCTCTTATATAGGCTATACCTAATCGTCATTTTGTTTGTTGTTAAAATTACATCAAAAGAAAATTTGTAGCTGATGTTTATCTTTTAAAAATGTCATATATTATGTAGGTAGACTTGCCATTTTAACTGCCGTTTGGATAACGTAACAGTCTCTCAACATATTTAAGGCTCAGCAATAAAAAAATGAAATTATTATTTCTTATTTCCTAGCAGGTTTTTTTAATTTTTACTGTTTAGTGACTAAAAGAAAAAAAAAATATGCTCATACATGTGTATGAGATTTCAACAGCTGGACGAAATTGTTCAAAATATACCAGGTACCAGTTTTCAATGGTTTGGAATAATAGTTGTATTCGAATTTTATTAATAATAAATAAATTACCTACGTATTTAGTTCGACATTTTCGCAGTGCCAAAGACCTTAAACCGATGCTAAATAATAAACTTAAATAATAAAAAAAAGCAATCGACCAGAATATACATAGTTTTAAAATTTTACCACTCTTAAGTAAATGCGCAACAATTTCATGAATGGAGTGACTTCATTCATTGATAAAACATATATTGACCTAGTTAAATATTAATGTACCTTTTCAACCTTGTACTAACGGGCCGCCCTGACTTTCCTCTTGCGCTAACTGCTGACTGCTAACATCCGTCTTTCATATTTGAATAAACATCTTAACCACAGATTTATATTCTGAGTCGAATCTGTTCAATAAATATTTTTTGGAAAATCTTATTGAAATAGTCATTAATATCGATGCAGAGGTCCAATCTATAGTTTATTTAATTTTTGTCTGTCTGTCTGTGACCACTGGACAGATTTTGATGAAATTCGGTATGATGATAGCTGTTTATCCGGTTCAACATATAGGATACTTTTTACCGCGAGAAAATATCTCATTTGTGAGAAAAAATGCAAAAACTACAATGTAGGAGTATACTAATATGTAAAACCTAAGAATTTGGTTTTTGGTCAACTGAACGCGGGTGGAGCCGCGGGCAATGCTAGTAATATATAATTTAGTAATATTAGACTTAGGTATACAATTATTTTAAGTTATCTCATATTCATAATTAAGTAACTTTTACTAAACTCACTTATACTAAAAGTTTTAAAAGTAACATCGACCATTTTTTTTCGGGAAAAAAAGAACAAACTAACAGACATATTTATATGTGGGTTAATTAATACATTTGTCTACAAAAATTAACAAACAAAATTCATGTGTGTATGTGATATGTAAATTAGTTAATGATATAACTTTTTATCGTATACCTAAGTAGATTTCCACGTAAAGTTTACTTAGCAGTTACCTAGGTACCTATGTCTTTATAAGTACCTATAGGTTTTCAAAACTTTAGATCTTCATGACCAGTGGTTTGAACTGGCTGTCAATAAGTTTCGAATATAATTTAAGTTCTATGTAACTACTTTAAAATACATATTTCAATAAATTACTTTTTCACTTTGTTAATGGTTATAAAGTTACCAACGCTCTAACAGTTTGATATATTTTATCAGGAGATAATTTCGTAAGTACCTACTAATTATTTAGTTTATTATTTGTTTTCTATTTTTTAATATAAATTAAATAAATAGACGATCAGTCTCAAAATGTTATAAATTAAATTTAAAATAATTGAATATCTTATTAATAATTGTGTAAAATTAACATTTTTTACTTGGATTATTTTAAAAAAGTTAGTTTATTAAGTTCTAATATAGGTCTTATGGTTTTTTTATGTGTTCTTTTAGGTACCTACACGTAGTATCATATTGTATATTTTTATACAGATACTTCAGTATCAGCAAACAAGTTACGTTATAACCACTAGTTTTAGGCAATAGCCAAAGTGGTATCTACTCTTAGAATGTTTTTGCTCAAATCTTAGTCTACAGGTTCACGTGACAATGTACGAAAACACCTTTTATCTCTGAGATAAGATCAGATTACAGATCAAGGTTTTTTTAACTTTTCGTGTCGGTAAATGGTGAAAAGTTGGTTTTGAGTTTTAATTATAATTACCATTGATATGAAGGTTATAATCTTTTTAAAAATAAAATTTTCAATGTCTATTCTACATGACGCGTTAGTAAAATACATATATCCCACTAGCGGCTCACCCTCGGTTCGCTCGGGTTCACCTCTGGAAAAACAAAAACGAATCTATCCCTCGGGAACTGTATGTTTTTCCTTAAAGTTAGAAAACTAGCGACTCACCTTCGCTCTGCTCGGGTTCGTCCCTAGTTTTCTAACTATAATTTCAATCGTAACTTGTTCTTATGATCAAGGTGTAGGTCACTTTGTAGCTTCCAAGTACCAACTATCCTTATTGGAAAAAAAAATATCGCATGTATTTTATGCATCTCGAAATAATGAATGAATTTGTCATCATTAAATATTGTTACGTTACACGTACGTACACGTATACATCGAATTAATCCATGTACAATGTTTTTATCCTTGAATTTAGTTCATTATTATCAAAAATTCACTATCTACTAAACTACTTAGGTACTATTTATTTGCTTTTAAAGGATATGACGCAATTTTAGTTGTTTAACTAATTTGTACCGTTTGCTTAAGTGATGCGTACCTATTTGCTTAGATTGACAAATATTTTATTATTAATTTTAAAAGTCCTACATTATGTGCTTAGTATTTTGAGATAGGTAGGTAGACTTGATTTCATAACCGACCAAGTATTAAAATTAAACCTCCATCTTTTTGGAAGTCGGTTAAGAAATGATTCTGTTTTAGTTTAACTTATTTAAATGTATTTATGATGTCACGAGCATAATATTATATGTAAATGACATGATATCATGGGGAGGGTTCAACGGCTCAAGTTGTTCGATTTAAGGGTGTGGGTGGATGCGTGCCAAAACATAGTAGATAGCGTGTAGCGATTAAAGAGTATAAACCGTTATGATACTAGAGGCGACTGTCTGGCGCAGGGAATCGCTTTAGCAGATATCATGAACAATATCAATTATATATTGTAGGTACTCCAACTACGTCCTGTCAATTCATATTACTAAAGCAACTTTTTTAAGTTATAATTTTCTTCATAGTAAATTAAAAATATAAATAAGTAAATTGTATTGTATTCAGCCTTTTTTGTAACGACCCAATGCTGGGCACGAGCCTCCCTCCAATGCGAGGGGGATCAGGTCATAAGTCCAACACGCTGGCCAAGTGCGGGTTACTGGACTTCACATATCTTTCAAAAACTTGCTAGGTTCTCTCAGACATGCAGGTTTCTTCACGATGTTCTCCTTCGCCGAAAATAAATACAATAGTATAAATTGATAAACAGTTTTTTTGCCAAAAATCTTGTGTGGTACCAACATACACTAACCTATATCTGTTTAAAGATATACAATTTTAAAATTAATTAAGGCAAACCCGACGTTATCAGAGAATCATAAAATTGCTGTTTTAATTACTTTATCGCCATTTTCGTGAGCCGCTAACTTATACAATTTTTTAAAGATTAAAATATGACGTGGACACTTTATGGAATTAAATATCTCATTTTAGTAGGTTCTTAAACTTCACACAATCCACATTAAATTATTATCTTTTTAAATTAAAATTTCTAAATGGTTTTTGTGACTAAAAAGGTAATTATTAATTTTGAGTTATTTAATAAAACTTGTTTCTCTTAAACGTAGGTACCTGTTATGGGTAGGTAAATTTTATTTTCTTAATTGCTTATTCATAAAAAGAAAGCGGAATCATTATACCTTAGCTAAAATTGAAATAGATTAAAATTAAAAACATATGTTTGTATAAAAAAAAATTGACTTAGAAATAGCACCTAATGTCAAAAGTCATAAATGAATACAATAATATTATTGTAAACGTTAGTTAAAATAATTAGCTATCATGTGGACGGGAGTCCGGAGGACAAGACAGTATAATTTTATCGTGGTAAATATAAACAACTAATCAATAATGATAATAATTTGTGATAACAACTTGATACCTTTAATAAACTAATGTGCAATTTTGTCAGTGCAATGTTATCTTTGTCATGATTAAGTGGAAAGAAAATCATGAGAAAATTTTTGAGCACAGAAAGAGTGCGTACCTAGTTTTTTACGAAATATTTATTTTTAAGAATAAAAATGTTTAATTTTTGTATTTTCTTTGTTAAAGATCGAGGAGGTTATGCAGCAGAAGGCGCCAAAGGTGCCTAGCGACGTAAAACTTCAGTAAGTGAATATTATTAAACGGTTCCCAGAGATAATATTCTATTTGTAGACTGTATGTGTTTTTGTTATTTTCCTTTTGATTATTCAACATTTATAATTAATAATGTCCAGTTTTAGTACAACTAACGCCATCTATTGAAGTATGAAGTAAATGCTTAGTCATTGTAATGGAATTAAGATGGTGCTAATAAACTATGCAAAAGATAATTTTTACCTAAATATAACATGAAATATGTATAGTGAATATAATATCTTTTTCACTTTATCTAAACCTATAAATTATAATTTTAATGATTTGTTTTTAGACAAACACAGAGCTCGTCAATAATCCGCAAAGGTTTAGCGGCGAATTTCTTTAAAGCAACCTTTAGCTCGCGTAGCAAGGCGGTACCAGCCGCCAGTTCTTACACAGTTCAAGAAACCAACAAAATAGGTAGCGCGGAGACAAAACCTGTAACTAGAAACCGACCTAGATCAGGTAGTTATGTTAATATATTAGTGTTTTTTTTTTTATTATTTATCATTTTGTAATAATTCCAGCTTAATGTGGAAATAAAAGTTGTACATCACTAATATCATATCGATTGCTTTTTAGTGCAGGCGGAACCTAAAATAAAGACACGAAATAGCGAAAAGACTTTAAGCCTTCAAACTGATAGCCCTTTGGAACCAAAGAGACCATTGAGAAATAAACCTCATACCCCAGATCCTGGAGGGCCGAAAGTCACTGAAAAGGTTAAAAATGACCTAAGTTCTAATGTTTTGAAAATAATCAAAAAAACTCCGGCACCAGTGAAGCCCAAAACACCAGATTCTATTTTGCCACCATCTTTAAAACCAAAACTTCCAGAACACGTTAATTTAAAACGTGAAAAATATGTGAATAATAATAACGTTTGGACGAATGCTAATGTAGCGAAAAGTGAAAAAAAGATTTCGTTTCTTAGTAATCGGTAAGTTTTCTGCTTTTCAATAATAATCATTAAAATAATTTACAATTTATATTTTAAATTTAAACGAGTTCAACATTTCCCGCCATATAACAATAATGTTTACAACATTAACAAATAATAGTACGCGTTATTGCAATTCCTTCCCTATTACAATGCAATTTGACTTTATTTACAATGATGAATGAAGCCTAGAGAAATAATGATAGGAAATCGTGTGACACACGTGACGAATAATTTTTTATCTGTATTTTATACCTGCCTGTAAGCTATATATTTGTCTCCTTCATACGTACACCAATAAACAGATAACAGTATCTTTCTCTTTCTGTCGCGGGGAATGTTTTCCTCGTAGTATAATACGACTTTTATAATGTGTCAGCTTAAAGTAAGTTAAATCGAATCACTTGAGAGTTTTGAAATGAGTCGAGTTATATAAAGAAATGCAAGCCCAGACTTTTGAACGACCGAATAGCAAGTTTGTTTGCCACGGTTGGCTGCGGACGTGTTCTGTAGGCCGGTGTTTTATATTTCGAACTTTAAAAAAATAAAACGAACTTTTTATAATGGTGTGTTTATAACTTGTGCCTTGTGAGTTGTGTGATCGGAGTTATAGAGCGTAGTGGCCTTTTAGTGTAGAGTCTAGCGTCCATAAACAGATGTAACAAAAATCCTACTTACTGTCTCGTTACTTGCTTTCTCATATAAACATATTATTATAGCGTGTAGTGTGGAAGTTAACTTATTGTGTATCATTCTTTATATTTAGACTCACATATGAATAAATAAACCATACCGACTACTTTTAAAATGCAGAAATAAAGCTTGGTTTATATTTTGACATTTTTGTTAAGTACCTATGTGGTTGTTGATATTTTATGGGATAGGTACCTACTCCCTAGGGTATTGATACCAATATATATATAAAATAACCTTTTTTTTGTAGGGCTTAAGCTAAGCTAAAATAAAATAAGTAGACTTTAATGAATAGTGATACTTCAAGGTCACTCTAATTACATGCAAGACGCTTCCCAACACTGTAAAATGAATCGAAAAATTAAACTTCCTATCAAAAGAATGAAGATAAAATGTCATGTTTATTATTCCGAAATATTATGTATCAGGGATAACTTTTTGTTTTGATTCATTTTAAGGATAGTCAACTTAGCCAAAAATATTTATTAAATAAAACATATTTTATCTATACATACATATAATGAAACTGTAGAGGTCGAATGTCTGCACATAGAAAAAAAAATGCTAAAAACCGAGTCAGGGGAAATAAAGGGGGGAGAGAAATAGAAAAAATCCAGATTTAAGTATTTCATTTTTTTGTTTCTCTATTAAATTGTCTGTTTTTACGACTAATCTCCAAAACTGTTAGACCGATTTAAATGAAATTTTGCACGGTGGTACCTTATATCACCGGTCAACATTTTAGATACCTATTCGTAGTCCCGGAAAAATAAAGAGTTCCCGTGGGATAGTTAAAAAACCATAGTAACTTATACAGCTTAGTAAACAACAACTTATGCCTAATTTAGTAAAATTTGGCATGCTGATACCTTATATTGCCGGTCAAACAACAGGCTACTTTTTATCTACTAGTCTATCACTAGTCAATTATAATTTATAATATTTACTAATTAATCTATACTAATATTATAAATGTGAAAGTTTGTGAGTATGGATGTATGTTTGTTACTCTTTCACGCCAGAACGGCTGAACGGATCTGGATGAAATTTGGCACATAGATAGATTATAGTCTGGAAAACATCATATGCTACTTTTTTATTACTTTTATCCAGGAAAATATGTACGGTTACCGTGGGATAGGTTTGTTTTTGTCTTTCTAGAGGCGAACCCGAGCGAAGCGAGGGCGACCTGCTAGTTAAATGTAAAATAATATTAGGACGTACACAACATATACCTACTTAGTGAACAGATTCACAACGATTACAATGAATCGCTTAACTACTGACATAACTAGTAATGGGGACACAAATGAAGCAGCTAAGCGCCAATTGAATATTCGTAAATTACCTACAGCCACAACCGTACTGCCAAATACCTACGAATAGATTTTAATATTCTCAAAGAAAGCTCTCTACATGGTCTTATTTAACAATGATAAGTACTTCCGGCTAAAATTACTCGTTTTTAAAACATTTTGATATTCTGTATTAGTTTTCGATTTTCACTTCGTGTTACTTAATCGGCTATTACTAAACTCTTTGCGTTATCATAATTTATTACTTCCTGACTCGCAGGCGTTATAATTTTAAAGTAGAATGATCTCCATCATTTGCCAGACACTATACCATAACACATTCACGAAATTAAAAAAAAAACACCAAATGATGACTTTGACTTATATTATTGGTGTCTAAGCACTGGAAACTTAATCTATCAAGCGCTAGCTCAAAGTACCACTACGCCTTATAGGGCAGATGGGGTCATATAGCATACTGGTCGAATCAAAGTCCAAATGTTAAGACTTCTTTATTAACACTCTTCTTTTGATCTTATTTTTTCCTCTGTGTAAAATTCATTAACACGTTTAGGCGGTAAATATTTTCGGAAATTATTTTTCAAATATTAAATGGCAAACGAATAGTAATTATGATTGTTAAGTAATTTACTTGTTCAAAGGCTGTAAAATAAAGATCGGTATGTACTTCGCATGTTGTATAATATTTATAATACAAAAAAGCGTTTGTGTGCCTTACATGAAGGCTGAAGCCCTTACATAGCGTTTTTTACTTGTACATTGAATCAAGTTTCTCTCCCATAATGGGAGCATCCTTAGAATGTAGACTGACTGCGAATGCGACACCAGGCATGCATTTAATAAAAAATTACAACCTATTTGTCATAGACGTTGTTTTCATATGTTCATTTTCTTCAAATTTACGATTTCTGAACGTTTACAAATTCCTTTATAAATCAATTGCCTATAAATATTTTGTACTTAAGAGTACTTAGTGTTTACCTGTTGTATTTACTAATTATGGCGAATTCTTGTTTGAGCCCAAACAGTAATATTATTTTTACGTATATGGGAAATGACATTGAAAAGTGACAAAGTTAGAAAATATTTGCATAAAACTACTATATTCTACGAGTATATCTCATTAAACATTAAGAACTCAAAAAATTCTTACCATATGTAATATTTTAAGACTTCAATTTGAATATATTGTGATGAAAATACAATTAGGTAGTATTTTTTCTTTGCGAAAAAGTGGTCTTGCCATTATCTTTGCGACAAAAGCAATATTTCAGTTAGTTCCAAAATGTATTGGTTTTTAGTTATATTTTTCAAGTTAATACTTTTGATTGAACATTTACATTTTTGCATGTTATCTTTAATCCCTCCACGACCGCGGACACGCCGGCGTTACAGTTGGCAATAGATTTCTTAGAAATTTAATTAATTTCTTAGAAATTTGCCTGGAGGTGTTAAATTTTTATTAGTAGGTACGTATTTTACATAACCACGTGTCATTTTACAATCTCATCCGTATAAAATCACGTAGGCGAATCTGTGCTTCCTCTGGAATATAAGATCAGACTACACTATCCGTGATGATTAGTAACATTCCAACGTCGTCTGAATACCAATCATTAGTTTTATGTTGGCTTGCGTCGCTAATTTGTATGCTGAGTTACAAAGGAAGTACTTATCCCTTAACGGTGCCAATAAGCCATGTTACATGTTTAAATTTTTTAAAACCACTGTTACTTTAAGCTCTCTGTGTGATATATGAAAATTCAAAGCCACTTAATCATTTAATCTTTACATAGTATAAAATGAAATTACTTCCGCTGTCTGTTCGCTTAGATCTTTTAAAATACTCCACGGATTTTAATGCAGTTTTCAGCAATAGATAGAGTGATTCAAGATGAAGTTTCATATGTATAATACATGCATATTATAGTACAGAAAAGCCGAGAAACTCAAAGATATAGATATAGGTAGATTTGTATTTCATACTAACCGTTAAAACGTACTTAGGGACCAACCCGAGCGAAGCGAGAGTGAGTTGCTAATAAGTAATACATATATATATTGCTACTACATTTATATTATCTTCTTATGGAGTCAAGGTATCATTTGTAAGAAATGCTAAATGGTCACTAAACATTGGATCCATTCAATTTCAGGGCATAATCATTATTATATATTTTATAGTATTTTGTTATATATGTATGGATTCTATAGGACATGTTAGGTACTTCGTATATTGAGTTTTTTGAGCGAAGTCTGTGTAAGTTAGTTTTAGAGCTTCTTTCTAGTCTAGCACTCCTTCTAGAGCTTCTTCTTAAGACGAAATTTACGTGGAAATGCCAAATATCATGTTATCTTAATAGAAATAATCTTTGTATTTGTACGTTGTTTCTCACTTTTCACTAAAGGTGATTTTACTATGTAGTAATCAAAAATATGTATGTAACTTAAATTTCATCAACTCTTCGATAAGAACTAACAAAACAACATTGAACAATTACTAACTCTATTTATATAATACTTATGTAATAAATCTTTACACTTAATCACGTAAATTATGTATTGTTACTTGTACGAGTATAACGCCCGCATGTAGGGGGAAAGTGAGCCACTTCAGTAATTGAGTCGGAAGAGTATGATTTGAATTTTACAACACATATTTGTATAGATATTATACTTTATATTATCTTTACTAAACAATATAGTCGATTATTCGTGGTTTTCGTGTCAGTTTGTTTGCTTAATGTGGAGGCAAAGTATGTTTTACCAACTATAATGCAATTCACTCATTTTTGTTTAAAAATCATTTAGAAATCCATCTGATTTATGTATAAACTTTTTCTAAAGTAAAATTTTGGCAATTATAAATCACTAGCGACTCACCCTCGCTTCGCTCGAATTCGTCCCTAGCTTGCTTCCCAATACAAATTTTCATCCCCATTTTCACTCCTTTAAGGGATGATTTCCGGGATAAAAAGTCCTATGTCCTTC